GATGAGTGGGTGTGGGATGCTGATGGGGACAGAGTGATGGAAGGATGGAACAGATGAAACAGGAGTGGGCAGCACAAGTTTTGAACACTTTAAGAAAAAATGTGCACCACTCAATCCTGGCCCAATCATTGTTATATATATATGTGTGTATATACATACATGGTGTTTATTTTATAAATATTCTTAGTGTTTGTCCTTTTCTTTGTATAGGAGGAGCTAATTTGTTTCAAATAGATTTCCTCTCTTTTTTGCAGAAAGGAAATTTTGGTGCTACGTGGGGAAAAACGTGAAACACAAGAAAAGCTTATGTGGAAAGTTGCCTGGGTCACAGGACGGGCCCATGGTGGACAACACACCGGATTGCAGAGGTGTGGGAAGGAGGAGCCCATTCTTCAGGTAAAGACATGGGGAGACTGGCTGCAATGTGGGCGGGTGGAGAGGGAGGAGTCAGCTTGACTCACAGGTTTCTGGATTAGGATACGGGTGCTGGTGATACCTTGAAGATAAGGACTTCCTTTTGAGAGAGAGTTAGCAGAGATGCGAAGACTGTAGCTTTTGAGGTGTTGAGACAGTGGCTCAGGTTAGGTTTCGGAGAGATCCTACGTTCTTCTGGGCACCTGCCAGAGTCAGGGGTGGTTGTCTGAGGTGGGGCACACCCCCAGGACACCTAAGTCCTTGGTCTTGGTTCTAGGGCCCTGCTCAGCTCCAGGAGACAGTGGTCACAGTCTCTTCCTTCAGGTGACACCTTTGGACCTGGCCCCATCACGTTGGGCTTGGGAATGGGAGCCCAGGAGCCTCTCGACGCCCTTGCTAAACTTGGGGAGACAAGGGCTCGAATCTCGATCTGACATTTTTTTCCCTCGGTGATCTTGGGAAAAGTTGCTTTGCCCCTTCCTGCCTCAGTTTCCCTATCTACACACACTCCGGAACAGACCCGAGGACAGTCTGTAACCTCCAGACGCCACTTCGCCATCACTAGCATAGGGCGAGGGGAAGAGGCGCGGACTGCTCTGGCGTCTTCCTAGTCCGATGTCACTCGGGAGGCTCGCAAGGCAGGGAGGCTCGCAAGCC